AATGGGAACTGGCTTTGACCGTCAAAGGCTGTCAGATAATACCACTCATCGTGGAAGGTGCAAACTTTACAGGTAGGAAGGGACCAGTGGACGGTACTTCCAGTTCGAACCACTTTGCGATAGGTGGCTCTAAAGCCGAGAAAAAAAAATTGTTGTCTACAGAACTCGGGGTGTCAGCGTTTCCACATCCAAAAAGAGGCTGATCAAGAAAGAAAGCACACCACATAAACTTCCATACTCAAACGTCGATTCTCCAGTTATTCCGAGTTTCATTGTGTTTTTTTTTTTAGATTTATATTTGTCACTTTTTTTACCGTTCGAATCTTTCTTCATGAAGTACAGATTGCGTGCCATACTTGTCCGGAAATATCATCGACACGTACGATGGGGACGAAACTTTCATATTAAAAATAGCGCAAAAGAGACGGGACAAAAAGACGAAGAAGCACACAGGACAAGCGCTAACGCTTGTCCTGTGTGCTTCTTCGTCTTATTGTCCCGTCTCTTTTGCGCTATTTTTAATATGAATGTCCATTACCAACTTGCCCAGCAGACTAAGCTTTTACAGGACGAAGCTTCTTTGGAGGGCATTCCTCCAACGAAATTGGCACTGCATACCCGCGAGTGTGGGATGGCATTTTAGTTCGTTCCATCGGCGCTGACACATGTGGGCGTTACTGGTACGAAAACAAACGCAGAGCGCAAAGCGGCAGTGTAGAATATGTCAGCCGTGCCGACACAGTGGCAGACATGATCGGGAGACCAAATTTCTCACGTCGTACGGCACGGCTCCATCGTTGTCGCCGTCCCACAAAACATCGGCGAGGTGAAAAACTGTGAAACTTTGTCTCCACGAGATACGACGCATAACTATTGAAGCACTTAATGACGCAGCACAGCTGCAGCACTTCATGCTGTGAACCCAGTGCAACCGCACCACTCAGACTTTAATGCGTACCAACGTACGCGGCGTGGTTTCGGTTTCGTTTTCTCTCGGGTTCTCACTGCCTACCTGCGGCACCGGCCGCGCGGCGGCGCGCCAGTCGCGTCGCACGGAGTGTATAGGGAGATGGCGCAACGCGCTACAAGCAACGCTAACTCGGTCATCTGCGAACGCGTCAAACGTGGACCCTAAAATAGTCTATTTTTTTTCTTTTTTTACGGAAAGGGAGCAACGATTTACCTTTTTATCGCCTGAAATGCAGCACTTCAATGTACATTCGGTGAAAGGCTGAGTTTCCTATGTGCAGGCGCCACTTTTCCGGCTCGTTTTACAGAGAAAGACCCACTCAAGCCCCCATGTACTTGTTTAGCTCGGTTGCCACGCGGCGCACGACATACCACTGCTATCGCCATGGTTTCTGCGAACGCAACCGGCGCAAATGTCGGCTTTCATTAAAAGATAAAGGCGAGCGCGAGCTCGTCAGTAGGTGCCCGAAAAAACCGAGTCCGGCCGCCATACCTCCTGCGTGAGAGCAATGAGCGCTTGCAGAAACGAGCGAGCAGCCCGAAGCCATTCACGAGGCTCCCGCCCCAAATCAGAGCTAAGCCTAACTCGCTCAACGTCATTTCGACACAAACGCGCGCACATATATACGCGCACATATATACACACACAGAGAAACACACCCACACACACACATCCACCGGGTCACCGAGTGAGGCGAACGGACCGAGGCACACGCGCCCAGTCTCCCGGCAGACCCGCAGCCCAATGAAGTGCGACTCGAGCTTACGGATCATTATGCACTTACGCCAGAGGCTTCGCGAGCCTGCGCCAGCGTGCCAGCTTGGCGCGTCGACAGATGGACCACAGTGAAGGCTGGAAGATGGATGCAGCGAGCCTTTATATCTCTCGCTTTGTACGTGTTCCAGAGTCACCGAGACCTTCGAGAAAACGAAGTGCGCGGCTTCTCACGCTTCTTGTTGCTGATTGGTTCTTCGGCGCTCATGTCACCTAACGCCGCAATCTCATTGGCCGTGGAACGATAATGACATGCCCAGGAGTCGACGCGCCCTGCGTTTCTTAAGCTGTCGGATGCGGCCTTGGACCGAGACGGGTGACCAATCGGATCGCTGTAATAGACCACGTGATCCCAAGTACGAGACGCTTCATCCAATCAAACGATGAGAATAGGCCAGAACGTCGCGCGGCGGGTGTTCGGACTTGCATACGCTTGGGTTCGGTCCAAGTGTGGACGGCACGTAGCGTGGTCTAACCGGATGAGTCGGCGCGTGGCTGCACTCGATCCCGGTCTTTGCTGCGCGCGGCGGGTCCTCGGCGCGGGTCGTCGTCGTCGTCGCCAACTCGCGAATAATCGCATTTGGGGTAAATGAGCGGGCCTCCGCCGGCGGGGCTTCCGCGATGCCATTACGAGTGGTGCGGCGGAAACAGCCGCCGCTGCGACGGCAAATTGCGTTGCTCGGCCACGGCTCTCCCATCTCGGGCAAATCCCCGCGTAGCTCTTCATCCCTGCGACCACGGTACTATACAGAGCGCCGCCTTGTTTCGCTACGGTGGATGTCGTGATGTTGGTAGGTTTGGATTCTAGAAAAGGCTGCTGTTCTACGTTGTGTGCAGAGCTCGCTTCTCAAACAGTAACACACACAGGTGAAATCCGAATGAGCTTTCTTTACTGTTAGTTTGCTATGAAGGTGCAATTCAGTAATTAAGGCCAAGTTTTCAAAGCTAATATAAAAGTGAGTCTCATGCACACCGCGTCTTCGAGCGCGCGTCTGCCGTACCAGAGCGGTTAGAGGTGGACACGTTCGTCAGGAAGAAAAAATGTGATCCTAGTGATCATTACAAAGGGTGTGAAGATGCAGTGTTACCCCCCATTCACACTGGAAGCGGATCCGCGTTCGCGAAGCGGTTGCGAACGCGGTTGTATAAAGATCCAGTGCATTTGCACGCGCATTTGATCTCATCAACTGCGCGTGCAATTGTACTGAATTCTTATACAACCGCGTTCGCAACCGCTTTGCGAACGCGGATCCGCTTCCAGTGTGAATGAGCCCTTACACTATTTCAAAATCGTGCCCAATTGCAAGCCTTATCGGATCTCCGGAAACTCGCTCATCTAAAGGCTCAATCACACTGCCCCATTTTCTTACGTTAAATGTTGCATGTCATGCTTTCTCCTTGAACTGGTAGCCTCGCTTAATACGAAGCACAGAGGTCCAGGTGACTTCAACGTAATATTTCGTAACGTAACTTAACGTAAGAAAATGGGGCAGTGTGAACCAGCCTTAAAGGCTCGTTCACACAGACCCGTTTTCTTACATTACGTTACGAAAAGTCACCGCGAAATTAGTGCTTCGTACTAAGCGTGGCTACCAATTCAAGGCGATAGCCTGGTGCGCAACAATCTAAACACGAATGTTTCGGTGACGACAAGCTAGGACGGTGAGTTACCGTGGCAACCCAGGACACAAGGCTCGTCGTAACGTAACGTAAGGAGTTGAGCTCGGTTTAAATTTTCACACAGCACCGTTCTCTTACGTTACGTCTAATACCCCTGTTACACGGGCACACTTAACCGCGGTTAACTCAGCTTAACTGCTTTTGCGCGGCACCACAGTTACCGCACTATACTCTCTGACAGCTATTTCAGAAGAAGTGAAGAGCGCGCGTGCACTGCTTTGATAGATGCTCAAGATGCTCAAGTGCACGTTCGCCCATAGCTTTGACTGCATAGCCGCAGAATGTTGTCGGCAAGTATTGTGCGCTAACTGCGGCTTAGCCTAACTGCAGTTAAGTCTGCCCGTGTAACAAGGGTATAAGTCACCGAAACATTCCTGTCTCGAATGTCGCGTGCCAGGCTGACGTTTCATAACGTAACGTAAAAAAACGTGTCTGCGTGAACGAGCCTTTACACTGTTTCCATTTTCTTACATTCAGTTACGTTACGAAATATTAGGTTGAAGTCACCGGGACCTTTGTGCGTCATATTAAGCGAGGCTACCAGTTCAAGAAGGAAGCATGACACGCGACATTTGAGACACGAATGTTTCGGTGACTTATACGTAACGTAACTTAACGCGAGAAAATGGGGCAGTGTGAATGAGCCTTTACTGGCTTTAGAACGATTTATTTCAGGCACCTCACATTATGTGCGCAATCATTCATACTGCGAACAATGATTGATTGGAATAACCTGCCAGTATATACGCATGGCAACTGAAGATAATAAAAAAAATTCAAGAACTGATGTGCACTGACAATAATATCGTTTTTTTTTTTTTTTTTCTTGTTATGCTGTGTACATATCTGGAATTGTATATCCAGTTCATTGCTTTCGCGCGTGTTTCTCGGTCTTTTTTTTAGTCTTACATCATATTTTTGATTTTTATGTACCCTCCCTCCGAGGACCTTCAGGGGTATTCTGGATAAAAATAAATAACATATACGACGTTCAACATAGCGTAACTGACCGTTAATATCGTTCATGGCTAGCTAGTTTAAAGGACACCGTCTTCAACTGGCTGGCAAAAACAAGTTTTACGGAGTAGAAAAACACTTGATATAGTGCAGTCTTTACAGTGCCCTATACGGTATTGATTATACAAACGCAGGCACGAAGCCGAGAGGGGTGCGAATTGAAACCAACTGGCTTGCTAGAAACAGTATTAGCTAAGGCTGAGTGAAAGAGTGCACTGCCAAAGCTTGCGCACGGGCGGAGTGGCACGTGCAGTTGACCTTGAGGCCACCTCAGGCGCAAGTGCGCCCCAGGCTTGGCAGGCTCTCTTTGACAAAAAGTGGTTCCTTTTAGGACTTCACTGTGAGCGCTTGCCGCACGTGTTCTAGGTGGCGTTGCGTTCAACCAGACGGCGCCACTCTTCGTAGTTATCCAAGCACGCGCAGTAGGAGACGACAAAGACAAAAACCTTTTCACGCGCAAGTTGAGCCTGAGCTTCATTCGAATGCCTCAGGGTGATTCAAACACCATCGCTCACGCAAGGGTAAATCGTTCATCGCCGAATAACCGTTCTAACTGCGAATCATGTCGAATCCGAAAGTGTTCTTCGACATCGAAGCCGACGGACAGCCCCTGGGCCGCATTACCATGGAACTGCGCGCCGACGTGGTCCCCAGGACAGCCGAAAACTTCCGGGCGCTCTGCACGGGCGAGAAAGGTTTCGGCTTCAAGAACTCCACCTTCCACCGCGTCATCCCGAACTTCATGTGCCAGGGCGGAGACTTCACCAACCACAACGGCACCGGAGGCAAGTCCATCTACGGCTCCAAGTTTGACGACGAGAACTTCACCCTCAAGCACACGGCACCCGGCACCCTGTCGATGGCCAACTCTGGCCGCAACACCAACGGGTCGCAGTTTTTTCTCACTACGGCCAAGACATCGTGGCTCGATGGAAAGCACGTCGTATTTGGGAGTGTTATCGGAGGCATGGACACCGTCAAGAAAATTGAGTCCTTCGGATCGCAGTCCGGCAAGACGTCCAAGAAGATCGTTATCGCTAACAGCGGAGAGCTCTAGAAAAAAGAAACCAAGTTCTCGAGCCAGTTTCGCCGTCCTTGTTGAGCGTGTTGTTGCTTGCATCTGTTTCCTGTAACATTGGGACAGTAAAAGGTTTCAAAACCGACTTGGTGTCCTGAGCAGAAAATTGCAGGAGCTTCGAGATTCGAAATGTGCTTGCGCCACATAAATGCTGGTGACGGGTAAGCACGGTTCAATCTACACGACTGCAAGTAGGTCATCTGGGAAAGCTCGTGCTGTAACAACAAGTAAGAGCTTCTGCGCGCGAGCGTGCTCCGACACATCAGGCACCAAGCGAAACGCTTTGAAAATGGTAAATATATCCATTCCACTTCTACACCCTCGAAGAAAAAAAAAAATTCGGCCAGCTTCTCATGGAGAAAGTAAAGCGCACAAAACTTATCGTCTCCAACATACGTACAGTACATATTAAATTTGCCCTAAGTAGAGACAATGAATAAATTATGTGAGAGAGAATACAAGGTAACACCAGCCCAGGGCCTCAAAGGAAAAAAGAAAAAGAAAAGAAAAAAGAAAAAGGCCTTCATTTTTGAAGGCAGTGAATTTGAAGAATCGACGTTGCTTCAACTGTTTTCTGTACATATGCGTAGCTTTCACACAGCTATTCGCAACTCCAGCGCGCCGCTCGCCCTCCCGCGGACGAGCGGAGAACTAGAGGAACGGGGACGGCAGCGGCAGCGGCGGCGCGGAAAAGGTGGCAGCGGCCTGTCGGTCTTGGTGCGTGAAACCATTGTAACGGAAAACGTGAGCGCGTTAAAATAGGAATTTGTGTGCTCCACCTCGCAACAGCGTTGTACGAAGGACCGGGATGTCTAATTTCACTAGGGTCTTTTCGTATATCGCATACGCTGCGGATCGCTGGCCTTGTGCATGACCGCCAGCTCGATCTGTGCTCTACGTGACGGCAAACGCTCCCGATGATAATGTAGAGCTCTATAGCACGGCCTACGGAAAGTCTATTATTTGCACTAAGTAGGAGAAAACTGGTCGCGCAACGTATGTCGAGCAATACACGTCAGGAATGGGTTTGCGTTTTAAGGCCGTAGGAACGTGACCATTTACTCCAAACACTTTTAAAAAATAGAATACGCGTACTTGCTTTTGAGGCAATTATAAAATAAATAAATAAATGCCCGAAGCATTTTAAGCGCGTCTGTGTTAGCCAGCCGTTCGTGACGAGAGCTTAGAACGGGCAGTTTTGGCGAGAGGGGCACAACGTTGCAAATAGCACGGTACAAAAAAGAAAAACATGTACGGTATATCAAAAAATGCATTTCTGGTAGAGCAATGAATAAAACCCCTCAACACACCGATTATGGTAATAGGCAGTTTTAACCTATAGCGTTACCGCAGGCCGTTGGCTACCGTGAGCACGGCAACGCTCCTGGCACGCGCTGAGAATTGTGCTTCAAAGGCGCAGCGCGAGCCTCCTGTTGTAATGCTACACCGCACGGTAGCCTGCGGTAACAAACTTCCTATCAAAAACCATAGAGCAGTTTGATCACGTGTTGCAACACATTAAAACCGAGACGGTGAACAACGAGTTGCGAGCCTCTGACACGAAGGCGTCAATACTGTGAACGCTGCTCTTCTAAAGCTTGACGGTCACCGTGCGCTGCTCACATTTTAGAGCACTAATGGCCAGGCAAAGCGCAAACACGATATCTTGACCACCCTTAAATATACTCTCCACAAACAGTGACGTGGCCGGGGCGTAAAACGCGCTCGCCCACCACAAAGCTTCGCAAGTCGAGGTTTCTGTAACTTTTAAATATCAGCGTGCTCATTTTGCTAACGGGCATCAACATCTCCGTCACCTGTAATATGACCCTGCCCTAGCCACTTCGCGTTTGCAGACAAATAAATCATTTTTAGCGCACTGACCAGCGTCAGCAAACAGGCGCACGGGAAACCCAGGGGAATCTATCCCCGTCTCTTCCGCCATCTTGGAACTACCGCCCCGCCACCTATAGGGCGTTGGAGTTGCGAATAGCTCCGCACTGCTGCGAGAGTACGTGACCATCTTGCGGCTCATTCGCTCGCGCAACTAGCTTTAACAGAGTTTACAGTTTAACAAAGACGGCGCACTGGCGAAAACAAGATTTACGCTGTAGGAACAACGTAGCAAAAATAAATCGACACCGAGTATAAAAATAACTAAGAAACTCGCAACTCTAAACACAGACAGACACACAGACACACACGCGCGCACGCACACACGCACACACTTGTTTCATCTGTTCAACGCTTTCGGAGTGTTATTTATTGCCATTATATGTATGCCTACAACAGCATCACAAGCGGAAATATAAATAATATGGATTCCGAAGTTATAAAAAATAATTCAACATTGTTTTCAGAAAAAAAGTTCGGGGTTTAGTAAATAAAGTTTGAAGTTTCAATTAGAGCTGAGAAAAAGAGGAAAAGAAAGAAAGAGAAAGATTAATAGATTGATTGATTAAGGGCTCTTTTGCCGAAACAACGACGCGGCGATTCTGAGCCAAACTTAACTATTTGTGCATAAGAGAAAGAAAGAGGGAGAGAAAGTGAGTTGGAAAAAGTGAGTAAGGTAGACAAAATTGAATCACCTACGCTGCTAAGCACTATAAAAGTAAGCAAAACCAAAACACTTAAAAGTGTATCGAACGAATAAATTGCGACTCATTTTCACGGTTATTGTTTTGGAACAAACTCAATTTTAAGGAGCTCGTAAAACCCAGAGCCAACAAAAAAGGCACGGAGGGCCTAAGCGCGGCTCCGTCGATAGCACACTGACGGTGCCGAAGAGACCACATTTGGCGGAGATTTCTACGGGGCGGGTATTAGGGCAGGCTTGCCTGGGCCGCGTGCCTGCCGCTGGCAACCCGGCAATTAGGAAGCAATCAAGCGGCAGCACTGAACAGAGTGCGCGCGTCGAGGCTGGCCGGGCCCTGCTCGATCACGCCGAGGCCCGGCCTGCCGAAACTGAATTAGCCCGGACTTCCAGCCAGGGCTTGAGTTTGAGCCCCGGGAAGAGACTAACCGCGCTCTGTCCCGCATGGAGCCGGAAGCCGAGCTCCTCAAAGTTTAACAACTGGGTCACGAAAAGAAGAAAAAGAAAAAAAAAAGACCGTATTGAAGACCGTTATATTTAGACAGCGTGAGCTCGGTAGTCCTTTGAGGTACGGCGACACTAGTCGACGCCGTAGGTTAGAAATTTCGTCAGCGCAGTGCGACTGCTAGCCGGGGGTCTTTAACGCTCAGAACGCAGAAGAGATACTCGACGCACGCCGGTACAATGCCCATCCACATCTCAACGGAAAGGTGTGGGAACAGACGTTTCCGGAAGTATGCGTTGCCCCCACCGTCTGCTTGATGCATTCTGATCTTCCGATGTACGGCACGTGAGGTTATCGAGAATTTAAAGACGAGGTCGGCGTTGGTTTCACATTTCGTGATCTCAGAACGCAGAGAACGCAGAGGGAAGGCAAGACACGAGTATGTGATGGCCTCCTTTTGTGTTCGCTTTATTTCTTGTATGATCCGAGCTTCTAATGATTGGAGCGAATTAATTGTGCCGGTTCCAGGATATACTAATCACTCGAGTCAGCACGAGCGTACATCGGAATAAACCCCTAATTCCCCTCGCAGCGAAATCTCCTGGGACCTTCCGGGAAGGTCTATCGAAACTAGGGATCCTGGGTTCGATACAGGGTGGGCCAAATAGATCGATCCCACTTTCAGTGAATCGCAGAAATCGGTTTCGCATGTCATGACAATGATTTCTCACGTAGGTGCAGCTTGGTGGTAAATACACATAAAGAAAAACGGAGACCAAAGTCGCCTAGAAAAAAGAAAAGCTCTCCTGTACAACGACTTTAAGGTAATCACTTTTCTCGTCAAAGTAAAAAAAGAAAAAAGAAAAATGATTTTAAGTCATTTAGGGCCGGTTGCACCAACGCCGCTTACCTTAACCCAAAGCGGCGCTTTCCTAAGCCGGCTTAGCGCCCTAAACCGAGCTCAGGTAAGCACGGGTTTAAATTCCGGTTGCACCAACGTTAAGCCGGCTTTACAGACGCGCCCCTAGCTAAACGCTGGATTTGCGTAGGGAATCTAGGGACAAACAGAGCGAACTAGGGAACTCTCAGAGGGACGAATACGATTGGCGGAGAGGAATCACGTGATGTAAACAAACAAACAAAAAACAAAACAAAAAAACTACCGTAGTAGTCGTCGTCGCCGTCTGCTTTTCGCTGTATTTCTTCGGTGACTAACAAATTAAAGGTCTCCAAATTCAATCATTTTTTCGTTTAACTTTCAATAACAGATATCAAAGCTTCAAATAAACACGAATGCTCCTTACATCTGTGATTGCGTATTTAATATCGGTTGATAACACGATATTTTGACAGTGGTAGTAGTTTTCGTTCTCACATTTTGAGGTGAAGGAGCCATCGGGGACTCTACTCCCTACATCGCTGAAGACAAAACATCATCGATATAAGTAGGCAGGTAAGATGACTACTAAAATCAAGTCAAGCCTGAGACCGATAAAGTTCAAAACAGTGACGAACTCGCCACGGCAGCTGCGAAAATGCCCCGAAATCGTCGAATAGAAGTCGTCGAGAGGTCAGGCAGTACTCGTTGCTATCAGCAGGGTGACAGAACTGCACTGTACCGTCGTTGAACATCCGCTGCAGCCTCAAACGGACTTCAGTTTCACACTGTCAAGCTCAGAAAAAAAAAAAAAAAAAAAAAAAAAAAAAAAAACTCCCACTAGTACATTACATCGTGCCGATAAGAACAGTCGTCTCTTCGCATCGCCTGCCCCAGCCCGCCCCGATACAGCAATGAACGAATCTAGCATAGTAGTCGTTACGATTTGTCGTCGCCACGAATGAAAGATATAAAGCAAAATATTCCTAAAAAATCGCGATCACCAAAAAAGTTGTGGTTATGGAACGATACAGATTCCTGAAGCCAAGATTCTACTCGCGAGA